TTTATCACTTCTCATAGTCATTATAATATCCAACAACATCGAATTTTATGGCCACATCGTGCAGCCCTACAGCACACACATTTCTAGTCTAAGCCACACCCACATTTGGTCTAAAATTTTAAAAGAATGCATAGGAAAAAAAGTATCATTCAGGAATTGGTATTGAAATCAAGGTATCGACATCAACACTGAACAGGTTTCAAGATACCTAGCCTTATCCACAAGTCTAAACAGCATAATAAATGTGCTGCTTTTTCTGTTCAGTATATTGGCAAACTGCACAGCATGGACAGTTCCCCATAATTTAAGCCACCAGTATCACTTTTATGTCTAAATGGTTCAACTAGACATGAAGCATTTACACTGCTATCCATGTTTCAAAGACCTGCAGGGAATTTGATCCAATCCATCAGGGCTTGTAAGCCGACACAGACATTGCAGGGGCCTTAAGATCTCTTGACATCCCTTGTGTCCTTTAAGACAGGGAACACGGATACAGTGACAATACAGGTCTTTGGAAGTGAGCCTGGATTAAATAGCCTTTTTCTAAAAGACAGATAAATTACTGGAGAAGTGCTGAGGTAGGGTTGGAAAATCAATCATTTTTATATTTATATTTAAGAAAGTGCAAATTTTTAAATAATTTTTTTTAACTATAACCTACATTATCACAGTTGTCTTAAATTTTAAGAGGTGAAATTTAACCTAATATGCTGCATGTAGAGTTAGACCACTCAGAGGCAACCAAACCTCCATGTGTTGTGACATCACAACCACAACTTTTAGGCTTTCTGGCACACTACATTAAGGGGTCAAGCCTCCAGCCAGAAAAGTGGATATTCTGGCCTTCTTGGTTAAAAAAAATAGATCTGAACCTCGACTTATAGAAAATAAATTCTATTTAAATTACAGTTGCAATATTAGTCAGAAAAATCGCAATTACAAATTTTCCCCAAATCGGTCAGCCGTATGCTGAGGGCATATGATTGACACGCAACTAACCATGCAGTCCTGTAATAACAACAGAGGGTGGGTGAAGAGATTTTCACATGCCGATGGAGTGGCAGATACACTATATGGACAAAAGTATTGGGACACCTACATGTTACACCTACAGGAACTTTTATGACATCCCATTCTAAATCCATAGGCATTAATATGGAGTTGATACTCCTTTGCAGCTATAACAGCTTCCACTCTTCTGGGAAGCCTTCTATGAGATGTTGGAGAGTGTCTGAGGGAATTTTTGCCCATTCATCCAGAAGAACATTTGTGAGATCAAACACTGATGTTGGACGAGAGGGTCTGGCTCGCAATCTCCATTCAAGTTCATCCCATGGGGTTGATGGGGTTAAGGGCTCTGTGTGGGCCAGTCAAGTTCTTCTACAGCAAACTCACCCAGCCATGCCTTTATGGACCTTGCTTTGTGTACTGGAGCTCAGTCATGCTGGAACAGAAAAGGGCCTTCCCAAAACTGTTCCCACAAAGTTGGAAACCCCAAAAAAACAACCCCATATCATTATTCCTCCTCCACCAAACTTCACAGTTGGTATAATGCAGTCAGGCATTGTTCTCCTGGTATTCGCCAATCCCAGACTCATTCATCAGACTGCCAGATAGAGAAGCGTGATTCGTCACTCCACAGAAAAAAAATCCACTGCTCCATCCAGTGGCAGTGTGCTTTAAACCACTCCATCCAACATTTGACAATGTGCTTGATGGCGTAAGGCTTGCATGCAGCTGCTCGGCCATGAAAAAACGAGTTGATTTATTAGTATAAAATATGCAGAAGGTTCCCCTCTGAGATCAGCACGTCTGTAAATACTATTTATGCGATCTCTAATGAAACCCCATCTGAAAGATTATTCCTTCACACCATACATCAGGTCCCCATAGACTCTGTTAGGGTCTCTTTCAGAGTGCGCTAACCTGAGAACTGAAGTCTGCTTCTTTAGTTTTGCACTGAAGCTATGAGGCTAATGTAGCTAACAAGTGATGGAAGCTTATAGTCTTCAGGTTATTGTTGTGCAAACTGCATGCCGACATCATCACACTTTTCTCAGACCATGAGGAGTTGTTAACTGCTTAAATTCCTGGCCTTATTACATGAAAAGGTTTATTATACAGTATCTACAGGGCCTTCAGTGCATTGTTCTTAGGTTATAGAAGTGTGTAATAAAACCTTAGCCCTGCTGGTGGGCCCTGGCCATTTAAGGGGTTAAGTAATCTCACTGTTATATATAAAATGGACAAGTAAGGCAAGCTGGGCAGAACACTTTATCAAAGTAAGGCTGAATACTGAATACGTTGTCCTAAATATATTCAGTAACATAATCCTTCATGATGCATAAAAAGTAACGTACATACATACATACATCATCTAAACCGCTTATCCTTCTGGGTCGCGGTGGGGTGCTGGAGCCTATCCCAACTGTCATTGGGCGGAAGGCAGGATACACCCTGGACAGATCGCCAGTCCATCGCAGGGCAGTAAAAAGGAACGTGTTCAGAATTATTTCAAATGTACAATCTGTACTAAATGTATTCTGAATTTGCTACTTTTTATGCATCATAAAGGAATACATTACTGAATACATTTAGAATACATTCAGAATAGATCTTACATTTAGAATTGATCTTACATTTAAAATCATTCTTACTACATGAATCATTAATTGTGAATCAGTTAACTGATTCTCAAAAAGTACAGGTGGGTAATATGTCAATATTTTATAGTTGTCATGATAAATTTAGTCATTGTGGTAAGCAATATGCTTTCCTGAGCATATTAGGAATAGAGTCAGTACTTGAAGAACAGTGATGAACTGCATGTTTCATTTTAAAGAGCGCAATTTGTTTTGTTTAATCAGATTTCGTGCAGTACAGTATGTGAAAAGTTGAATGAAAAGTTTCTGATGGCTGTTTTAAAATGTCCGTGACCCAGAACGATAAGCGGCTTAGAAGATGTGTGTGTGTGTGTGTGTGTGTTTTAAAATGTAGCACTGCTAGCACATTTAGTCTGTGTGTCAAAATCATATGTAAACTTGTTGAAGTATCGTGATATGATATTTCTGCCTTACTGCCCACCCCTACCTGCAGTTACATTAAAACAGTAGTACCTTAAAAAAAGGAACTACAAAAGAACAATAGCAGCCTGAAATCTGAATTTTGTCTGTATTTTTGTCTATTATTAGATATATTTTTTGCTTTAATGTCTACACACTAGAAGAACTACAATGACAGACTTAATTAGATTTCATTTAAATTTAGAATACATTGTCTTTAGCTGCAAGAAGCGCACACTGCTGATGCTGCCAATCGCCCTCTTGCTCGAGCATCCAGCTAGAACAGCCCTAAATTAGCATGTAGCTCGATACACACACCCACTACAAGCCCGAGCACAGCTCTATTAATCAGAGCTAACAGGCCGTCTGCTGAGATAATCGGGCGGGTATTTTTAACCCTCTGATTGGAGTGTCCGTGGAGACTGGAGCATCAGCTGCTCAATTTCCACTGAGCCCCTGAGAGCAAAGCACCTCACACCTGTCAACACTCTGTATGTGTGTGTACACTGTGTGTGGGAAAGCATGTGCATGTACATCACAAAAGCTTGGAATCATTTGTCGTAATTAATAATTGATGATATTTTTAGAGATATTTTTAAATATTGTCAGTTTTAAATAGTAAATATACTGTAATTATCTAATTAGACTAATTTCTTGTCAAGTCTTGAGAAAAGCTTTGCTCATTCTAAACTTCATTTTTTTACAGCCTCCTAGAAATTAGCTACAAAGCATTGACATGCCAACTAAATATGTCAGACCAGATGTTGCATGCTGTCATGACAGGTTATGTTCAATAATATAACAGTGTCATGTTACATTACCCTTAATTGTCATGACTTTCATCATTAATGTTTGATGTCATGACGGCTGACTAGACTTCACTTAGCAAAAATGATCATGTGACATAAGCTGTCATGACATCAAACATTTTGCCATTTCTTATGATTTTTACCAGTAATGGTAACCTGACACTGTTACATTGAACAAAATCTGTCATGACAACTTATGACAGCATATGACATTTTGGCCCTCATCCAGAAGAGCATTTGTGAGGTCAGACACTGATGTTGGACGAGAGGGTCTGGCTCACAATCTCTGTTCTAGTTCATCCCAATGGTGTTCAGTGGGGTTGAGGTCAGGGCTCTGTGTGGGCCAGTCAAGTTCTTCTACCCTATACTCACCCAGCCATGCCTTTATGCTTTGTGCACTGGGGCTCAGCCAAGCAGGAACAGTAAAGGGTCTTCCCCAAACTGTTCCCACAAAGTTGGAAGCATACAGTTGTCCAAAATGTCTTGGTTTGCTGAAGCATTAGGATTCCCTTCACTGAAACTAAGTGGCCTATACCAATCCCTGAAAAACAACCCCATAGCATTATACCTCCTCCACCAAACTTTACAGCTGGCACAATGCAGTCAGTCAGGTAATGTTCTCCTGGCCTTCGCCAAAACCCAGACTCGTCCATCAGACTGCCAGATAGAGAAGCGTGATTCATCACTTCACAGAATACGTTTCCACTTTTCCAGAGTTCAGTGGTGCTTGACATTGTGCTTTGTGATGTAATGCTTGCATGCTGCTGATCGGCCATGGAAACCCATGCCATGAAGCTCCCAGCGCACAGTGTTTGTGCTGATGTTAATGCCAGAGGAGGTTTAAAACTCTGCAGTTATTGAGTCAGCAGAGCGTTGGTGATATTTGTGCACTATTCACCTTAACACTTGGCCAGGACAGGTTTATGGCATGGTTATGTCTGTTATGCAGCAGTGTTCAAGTAAAGTGTTACCAAAATCTGAGGTTATGGAGGACTAGCATAATAGTATTACAATATTTTATACATATACCCGCTACCAAATTTTTAATATTATTAAAAATTGTTTTATATTATTGAAAATAGTGACTGCAGACTACCGAACGGTAGCATACGCGTGCGTGTGTTACCGTTATCTGCAGAGGTGTCCCTGTGTTCCTTGGTTGAGCTCAGTGCTGGTAGTAGAGGCTCCATGTTCATTATGAGTTGTTTATGGCTGAGGGAGTTATAGCTCCTGCTCTGGCCCAACTGAGACCTATAACAGTCACAACAACGCTTAACACAACAATCAGACCCACAGACAACAAAAACAATCATCAACACAACCCGAGACATAACGAAACCAGTGGCTTTCAGTAGAAAAAAGACATAAAAAGAAAGAGCAATCAAATCAAGCTATGGCTGCAGACAAAACAGACATACACCACCAATCAAAGGTTTGTACCCAACTGATTGTATGTTTTTCAGTTTTCCCAAGCACAATTTTATCTAAAGGCTTCTGTATGGAGTAGGATTCATTAGATATCTGAATTTAAAGGTTGAAAGGCTTGTAAGGTTTGTAGGAGAGCAAACTAATCTGAATCTGAATTTTATGGTTAATGACAACGGAAATTTAATTTCTAAAAAGCATTGATTTACTTTCGAAATAACACCCGGGTGTCAGGCAGCCAAAAGCAGGCGAACACTGAATCTCTTCCCTGCTCCCACCACCAACCTTGTACTTACACTGACTGGAACATTTTATCAGAAACAATTACCATACATGTACACTTGCATACTGCAATACTGGCTGCAGCCATTTGGTTGCTGCAGTTTATCAACCCCCACCCCCCATCCATCAGTAGAAAGAGACCACCACTGACCAGATATTATTTAAGTGATGCATCACTCTTACAACAGCGGTGACACTGAAACAGTAGTGGCACAAGTGTATTAGACACATCAGCGTTGAAGCATGTACAAATTACATTCATGATGCATTTACTGGAGCCCGGTGTTCAAAAAAACACCAGCCGTTATGCACCACTTCTGTTATAAACCAAGCATTATTACCTGGCTCTGAAACAATGTGGCGTTTGAACGCTTTTGGCTGAAAGACACCCTGATGTTACATTGGAAGAGAATAAAAAAGGTGAATCAATAATAGAAATGGAATGCTTTTAAGAATTTGAATTTGAATTTGAAACGTTCAATTGTACATCATCAATTTAGTTGAAGGTTTCATTTTGCCCTCTTACAAACCTTAAAATTCAATTTCAGATGGTATGACTCAGATTCAAAATATTCAAAACATTCAAAATCAGATGTTTGTATTTAAATTCAAATTTCTAATAGCCTGCACCTCCACACTTCTTTTTCAAACCAAAATGAAACATCAAAATTGAAAATATTTTCAAGAATACTTTTGAAACAAGCAGTTTTCATTTAGTAATTTACTGAACGTAGGAAAATGCAGAGCTGGAATGTCATTCTATTAATTAATTACTGTGTTTCTCATTAAAAGTTTATTAGCTGACTGTCTGTTCTCTTAATGCATTTCAGCCAATCTGTTGTTTGGTGATGACGGTGTGGGGTCTAAATAGCCCTGTTTTATTTGAAGCCAAGAGTATTTCCAAATGAACTGTGTAACTATTTCGCAGTTGTGATGCTTTTATTATTATTATTCTAAAATGTGGAAAATAGTAAAATAGTAAAAAAGTAGTAGAAAAAGAAAAAGAAAACCTGCTCTGTGAGTAAGTATGTCTAAACTTTTGTAGTGTAGCTGCAGACAAAACAAAACAAAACATCAAAAGCTTTAAATGAGAAGGTCGAACTCTGACCTGTGAACGACCGGAGGGTCCCTCTGGATCTTTGAACTGGCTTCTATCACCTCTTTAGCAACACGACCACTGTAATCAGTCCAAACACAAAAAACTCATGTGCAACACTTTTTTTTTTCATACAGTCGATTTATAGAAGGAAAAGCTTTAATGTACATTAATGTAACAAAATTTTATTCTTGACAATTTCTCATTTGCTCCATTCATCCTGAAATCTTCATACCATAAAAAGGGCCACTGCTGTTTTCAAATAACTAATAAAAACTGAACAACTTGACTTAATAGGTTTTGATACAATATGACAAAATGCAAGTGATAGACATTAATATCATTAACATCATTAATAATGGAATTTTGTGAATGAGTTTGTGTAGAAAGCTTATCCTACCTGTAGCGAAATCTGGTCCCTTTGAAAAATATACTGCTGCTGGAGACGGTCTTGATCTGACTCGATTTTGCACATCTGGTAAAAGAGAAGAAATTAAGAGGATGTTTCAGAAACATGAATTAGGAACCACAATGGTGCACAGGCAGTCATGCTACTTGTGTGCCTTAACCACAATTGAGTATACTGTAATAGCTCGATTAATCACTTAACCAAGCTGATGACTGACGTGCACTTAAGGTATGGCTGTGTTTTGTCTTCCACTTGTGCTATGTTTATGTATGCAGAGTATGAGAGTGTATAAAGGTATATGTGTGTGTGTAGGTGTGAGTGCAGTGTTGAGTGTTCAGAGTAATTCTTGTTGGGTACACTGGGACTGGGATGTCCTCTCAATGGCATTTCAGCTATTAATTAAAGAGCTTTAATCAGAAATGTGATCTTGCTTACTCTCGGAACATGGAGTAACCAAACACCAGAGCGCCTTTGTGTGTGTGTGTGTGTGTGTTTCAGTGTTTGTGAGAAAGACAAGAGGAGGAAATAAGCATCAGAGAAAAGTAAAAAAGATCCCTTATGTTAGGGCTGCACAATATAGACAAAACCCTATGACCATTACACTACTAAAAATGGTAATATGCCAATGTACAGTACTCTGCACATGTCCAGCACCGTCATTTTCCAGTCGAAATGGCCTTTAAGTACAAGTTATTCATTTTTTGGATATTTCTGTAGAGATTATTGTAGGAGATAAAAGATGCACAAGGAAGGTGTAAGTCAAATCAAAATAAGCAAAAAAAAGGACATGGGACTTGTAACAACAGTGCCAGATCTGGTAGACCACCAAAATTGGTCCCCATCAGATAAACAGCACTTTCATCTTTGAAAGCTTTCATCTTTGAGAGGGAGGAGAAAATTTAACTCCACTCTTGCTTCTGATCTGAAAAAATCCACAGGCATTTCTGTCTATGCTTCCACTGTGAGACAGCACTATGAGTCGGAAAGGATGTGTAACTGTCAAGAAGCCCTTACTGAGAAAAGAAGCTGCTGGTGTTCTCAGAATAGTGGACTCTCCACCCCAGTCCAGACCTCAACATCAATGAATATGATTTAGGTAACTTGGGTTGTGAGAAGCAGAAAAAAAGTCTGAACTTCAGAGGTGTGGAAAAATATCCCTGCAGATTTCTTTGAAAAACTGAAAGTGAGTCTCCTGAAATGAACGTAAGCTGTAATAAAGGTAAAAGCTGGACACTCTAAATATTGAAGGAAAAATTATACCATATTTAAATGTTGAGGCTTCTGTGTCATTTTCTGTGAAAACTGTATGTACTGCTTTTCCCCCAACACTGAAAAATGAATAACTTGTACCTAACAGCCATTTTGACATTTGAAATTAAGTAAATGAAGGGTGGTCTGATTTTTTACACAGTGCTATATTAAAAACACACTGGTGAACACTGATGTAACATGTGTTACTAATCCACCCATCCCTATTGTTCTCCAGTGTATAATCACTGACTATTCCAACCGCTAACTGTGTCACACCCTACCACACGGTGCTACCAAACTGGCACATGCCTCCCCCGAGATACATGAAGTGCCACTGCATCTTTTCCAACTGCTCCTAACACTATTTCTTTGAACAACTGAACATGCTTGGAGGAAAACACTGGCAAATCTGTTACACTACACTCTTAAAAACAATGGTTCTTCAAGGGTTCTTTAGTAAAGAAAATGGATTTGCATGATTAAAGGGTTCTTTGTATCGTGAAAGCATTCTTCAGAGTGATGGAGAATGTGTGGTGTATGATCCTATATAGAGCTTTTTTGAAAAGGGTTGTAAATAGCACTGCAAAACGATTCTGCTATTGTTACAATAAAAGCTTGTTACAATAGAAGAACTCTTTTTGGTGCTATATAGAACCCTTTTAACTGCGATAACAATTAGCAAATGATATATTGTGCAGCCCTACTGTACATGTAGATGTAAAACCCATAGACAGTTGTAGTTGCTCTCACTTGTAAAATGCCTGATTTTCCACGCCACATTTCCAAAGGTGTTTACAGGCTGCTGGTGTGGAGGTGTGGAATGTCAAAACAAGTTTCTTCTGCAGAGAGAAAAAAAGATAAAAACGTGAACCTTTTGCATGCTGACAAAAGGCCAGACAGAAAGGGAAGGAGGCAGGGGGGAGGAGAGGAGGAGAAAAAGAAGGGAAAAAAGGGATTTTGTTCAGGTATGGCAAGCAGACAAGGTCAATAAATTACACCATGATGGAATCTGATGAGAGCTGAACAAACTGCTGACCGCAAAATTTCTGTCAGAGAGAGGGAATGAGGGAGAGAGTGACGGGTGCTGAAATGATAGTGTTGAGTGTTATTTACTGGTAGCTCAGTGGTGTTTATGGGAAGAATGAGCAGAATGTGAGAGTGGCGATCAATACTACAGTAAAAAGCAGCACAGATACTCAGTATTTAAGGGTTTCATTTCATTTGTGATGGTGCGACTCTACGTAACTAGTTAAAGAAATTATTTGTTGAAAATCAAATTCACACAAATGTAATTAATCAGCTCAGACATGTTTGGTGTTGGAAGTTTGTTTCTTTAGTTTTGCACAGGAGCTAAAAGGCTCCTTAAACCTTGTTGAGTTGTTAAGTAACCTTGCTTATGTGGTTTGATAGGGTTATCTATAAAACTGTCAAAAAAGAGACAACATTCAGGCTTCAAGATGGCTGCTACTACTGTCTTAGCTACCAGACCGCCCTTCTTTCATGTAATTTTCTAGCCAAAATGGCCACTAAGCACCCTTTGCAAAGAACAAAGAACTTTGTTTGCAAGTTATCCATTTTCCAGCATCAGGAAAAAAAACAGAAAAAAATTACACAGAAGCCTCAACGACTAAATATCACATTTTTCAGTATTTAGTGTGTCCACTCTTTGCCTTTTTTATAGCTACCATTCTTTTCAGAAGACTATCTTTCAGTTTTTCATAAAAAAAAAACGGCAGGGATATTTTTCCACACCTTCAAAGTTCAGTCTTCTAAGTTGGTTGCATTTTCTGCTTCTTACTATCTGAGTATTCCCAAACACACTCAGTGACGTTGAGGTCTGGACTCTGGGGTGGGCAGTCCAACGTTCTGAGAACACCTGCAGCTTCACTGTTTGGGAAGTACGTTTAGATGTTTTCAGTGGTGTGCTGGAGTCATTATCAGTCCAGATGTTATTATACTTTCCCAAGATCTTAAATTCAGATTCATCAGTGCATAAAACCAGGTGTCCAGTTTTTGTGTTCTAGTGCCAGTTTTCTTCTGTTTCCTTTTCTCAGTAAGGGCTCCTTGACAGCTACACATCCTTTCAGTCTCATAGTGTTGAGTTGTCTTCTCACAGTGGAAAGATGGACAGAAACATCTGTGGATTTTTTCAGATCTGAAACAAGAGTGGAGCTTGATTTTGTCCCCAAAGATGAAAGCTAACCCTAAATCCTTTTTATGGGACTTTGGTGGGGACTGTTTTGATGGTGTACCAGGTCTTGTGTGGTTTTTATAAGTCCCATTTTCTCTATATATTTAAATATTTATTAAACTGATAAATTAATTAAATTGTCAGTTTTGGAGTTTGGTATTATATTTTTTATTAAACTTAGTTGTTGAGGCTTCTGTGTTATTTTCTGTTGAATATGTTTCTTGCTTTCCCCCTCATACAGGAAAATGAATAACTCGCATTTGAATAAATGAAAGGGTGGTCTCTGAATATTGCACAGTACCGTATGTTTTAGCTCAAGTGCAAAACCAAAGAAGCATCAAATGTGTCTTAGCTGATTAGCTGACTTCCAGGCTTTCAGTGGATGACCAAAGAACATGACAAATGCAGAGAACTTAGCTACTGTAAGTCAAACAGCTTTGACTAGATGCCTTAGTTGAGAGAACATCAGCAAGGATAGCACTAAACAGCCAAACAGGAGGAAGGACATTAGTGATGCCAGTCAAGCTTTTTCATTTTTTGGATACTGTTACATGTCTGTGTCGGTCAGGCCCAATTAGATTCTACACTACTCAATTTCATAGCGAAACCATAGAGGATCTAGAGGTCTCTGAGGACTGTAGCCTTGATCCAAATCAAAGTACATTAGCCAAGCTCAGCTAAAGGCATTAAAACAGCAGTGCCTGGGCAGAGTTGGACCAAACCAGTATGTAACTGGCTTATTATTCTGTTAAATCAGATGTTGAAAGGCTCGTATATCTACACTGAACTGAACAGGGGTTAACAAATTGCTTGGACTGGATAATGCATTTTTATCCCCATTCAAGAGAGATATATGTTTTAGACTAAGTGTCCCTGAATCTATGCATTGGGCTGTGCATGTGTGCCACACTGATAAGAGGTAAGTGTATGTGCTGGATTACCCTGGGCTGAACATGTGCTCTGGAGGAGCTGAAAAATGGAACTGTCAGGAGAATTTGTTCCATTACCCTCTTATGTTGTGTAATATGAGACAGAGGATCGATAAATGGATGTCTAAGCAGCAGCCTGAAGCCCCAAAGAAATCAATACCGACTTCCACGCAGCTTAGCATGAGAGCATTGCCCTCTGAAAAGCACCAGTGGGATATCACTGTGGGGTTCCAGGCCTAGCAAGGTACATTTGAGTTTAGTTGAGATTTGGCCCGCTACAAAGTGAATCCCTATATCAATACATACACCTCCATGCCTAATCTGCTCTGAGGCACATTTAGCACGAGTTCAGCTGTGTTCAGAGTGAGGGAAATCTTAGCCACACAAATCCACTCGACATTATCAGATACCTTTGTTTTCAAAGTGCACAGCTAAACTAAAGCAATGGTACAAACTGCATGTCTAAATGGACAAAAGCTAAAAGATGCTGCTACTACTGTTAACTTAATATTTTTGTTGATTTTATTGACGTCATACAGTGTCAGAAACCACAAAAGCAAACCTATTTTATGTGGGAAATAAGCTTGTTAGCTATATTAGCCTCTAGTTTTGCTCTGGAGCTATAAGGCTTATGTTGCTAACAAGTAATAGAAGTTTATCCCTGACCAGTTAGCACTGCACCTCAAGTCCCTCAAACCTTGTTAAACTGTTAAGTAATCTCACTTGCTTATGTGGTTTCTGATACTGTATAACATGCTGCTATAAAAAGTGACAAAAGTAGAGACAAAATAGTCATGGAGACTACTAAATAAGCCTGTGAGCTACATTAGCCTAGTATTAGTATTTTATTGACATCATACAGTGTCAGAAACCACATAAGCAAACCTATTTTATGTGGGAAATAAGCTTGTTAGCTATATTAGTCTCTAGTTTTGCTCAGGAGCTATGAGGCTAATGTAGCTAACAAGTAACAGAAGCTTATCCCTGACCACTTAGCATTGCACTGTACAGCATACTGTTATCAAAAAAAGTATCAAAGGTGGGGACAAAATTCTACCTTCATGATGGCTGCTACTGTTTTAGCTATGTGATGTACTTTTATCCATGTATGTGTTAGCTACATTAGCTTTATAACTCCAGTGCAAAACTAAAGAAGCAATCTGGACATCAAACATGTCTGACTGAACAACCACTTTTGAGATAAAGGGAAAATGTTTAGGTATCACTTTTCCTGCTTGTGTGATCTATCTTCGCTAACTAGCACTCACTGCAGAACCACAAGTCCAAACGGGTGGAGCCGGACCTGATCCAACTCCACCCATGTCTTCTTTTCCTTGGTCTAAAATCATCGCATTTCTATTTGTCTTTAAACTATTATGTATTGCTTACGTTTTCTGCCTACGATTTATTTCATTGGTCTACACTGTCACGTGTTTATATGTGGGAAACCCGCAGGTGTTGCTTGGTTTTTGTTTTTTTCTCGATGTTGCTCCATCCTGAATGCCACAACATAGCCTTTATATTCGCTCATGATTCACGACGTACACACTCATTTGTCAAAACTCGAAAAGCTTTTTTCACATTCTGGTACAAAGTCTGTTCTGTAGGCCTACATCTCAAGAGTACTTATGCTAGACAAGTTCTAGTTGAAAATGCTGAACCTTTTTAAAACACTAGAATGCACTTATGACAGGTCAAAATAACCCACATAACTGTGTTTTATCAACTAAATCCAGGAATTTCATAATAAAAAAAATCTTTATAATGACTTTGCTCTACATTTAGAAAAAAGGATTTGGTATTAGGATTAGGATTTGGTATTACTGCCACACATTTCCATAAGTCTAAGCATTTACAGAGAGAGAAAATGTGTGTTATGTACTTACTTTCACATTCGCACTTGATTACGTTTTACTTGAATCTGACGGGCAAGTATAGCGGGACGGGGTGGAGTGGGATCTAGTTCAGACCAATCTCCATTTTTCTCTAAGTCACAGTCCGAAGTTATAACAACGACAGCTATTCTTACCTCGCTTCTTTTTGAGCCATCTGTTTCTGAGCATCACAAAGTGCTTTACAAAGGAATATAAGTGAAATATTGGGAAGACTAAATGAAAGTAGGTGCACATTTATAAACAGAAAAAAATGAGCCACAAAACTTCAGACACTCATTTTGGATAACCCTAACCTCGATCCTTTGGAAAGCCGCATTCGCAGTCAGGAACAGCACAACGTTTAATAATTTTCCTCATGGCCAATAACTCTACTACTAACACTCTGTATCATTTCAACAAGAATGGGTGAGGCTAAATAGCTGTGGGCTAAATATGTACATGTGTCCAATGTTGTGACATCACAGCCATCAAAATAGGCTGTTTTTGCAGATTTCATATGTGGACTGTATGAACGAGGGACTGAAAAAGAGCAAGGAATTTGTTTTTCATCATATGGGCCCTTTAACACTGTGGTATATGTAGCTTTGCAGATTCCCAACTGAACAGTCCTTCCATATTTCCACTGTAGTCATGAACTATATTGGTTGTACTTGTTGTGGTACATAAGTTATGTATTAGTTTCGTAGTAGTTACCATATAATTCATACTAGTTACTGAATAGCAAGTCTTAACTTTAATAACTGAATAATATGGCTACAGTTTTAGGGTTAACCTAAATTGACCTAAATTGGTCTAGTTTTTAATGCAAGCATACTTTTATTAACAGGCATGACTGGTAACTCTGAATGGCAAATTACATTACACACAAATCATTTCAGCTGAGAGATTTGTGTTTAAAACTGTATGTGATCATTCCAATATTTCCGCCATTTCCGGAAATAAATTGTTCTATAAAGTGATGAATGAAGTTGTGTGATTGGTCAGCTATTGTTCAGACTCAGTATAGTGATCAGTTGACATATTTTAGGGTAACATCTGTATATATCACAAGAAGGCATATATGTATGTGTGTATGTAGCTTAACACACACACACATGTATGCATCAGTCTCAGCACACATAATGATCTGTTCCAAAGTGTGTGTATAGCATGCAGTTACACTGGGGGGGAAAACCAGAGTAAGTGTACACACAAATTAAAGGAATACTCCAGTATTTTTCTACCAGATATCTATCTGCATAAAGGGCAGGGCTGAAAACCAAAACTGAATGCCCATAAACTTTGATCCCTAAGACTACACTGCATTAAAAACTTGCATGCTTCTGTGATGGGTATCACCACATGGGCCACATGATGAGTTAATCTTTCACATTGTTTGTGGTAATTATTATTATAGACATCATGTTCTCTAGGACAAAGTTGAAACAACATGCAGATTGTTACCAGCATAAAGTTCAAAAGCCAGGGTGGTCATGGTATGGGGGTGTATTAGTAGCCATTCCATGTAACCTGCATATCTGTGAAGGCATCTACCAATTTTGGAGCAACATTTGCTGCCTTCTAGATGACGTCTTTTTCAGGGATGTCCAGGCTTATTTCAACATGACAACGCAAAGCATGTGTTACAACAGCATGGCTCCGTAATCAGAGATTGCAGGTGCTAAACTGGCCTGTCTGCAGTCCAAACCTGTCATCCACTGAAAATGTGTGGGACATTATAGAGCATAAAACAGGACAACGAAGGCACTGTGTAGTTGCACAGCTGAAGACTTGTCCTCAGGCTTCTAATTAGTGTTCAGTCTCCAAACTATTATAAAGAGTTTTAAAAGAAAAGGTGACGTCCCAACTTTTTTGGAATGTGTTGTAGGCATCAAACTGGGAATGTGCATATATTAATAATAATAATAAAAATAATTCATCAAGGTTAAACAAGAAATGCGTTTTTGTACTGTTTTCAATTAAATACAGGTCAAACAAAATTTACTAATTGCTGCTTTTTGTTTTTATTTGCATTTTACATATTGTCCCAACTTTTTTGGAACTGACATTCGAATTGAAGTTGGAACTGAAGAAATTAGGTTGAAAAACGCTGGAGTATCTCTTTAACACACTCAGCCGCACTCCTTATAAGGTCATGAACCTATATTATAAGGTCAACTCCCAGGATCACAGAGATGAAGAGCACTCTGGCTCCATCATGTACCTAAATAATCCTTCAGGGAACTCATCATACACATATGTTTTTAAAGATTAAGGAACACTTTAGTCTAATGCCCAACATAATATTATACAAACTATAAAGACCATATACAGTTCTACCAACAGTCATGAAAAATTAAGAGTTCTAATCAAACATTAATACTAGTTATGTACCATTTTTTGAATCTCCAGAACTTGCCAGTCACAACAAAAAAACATTAGATTTTTTAAATGAATTATTTCTCATTCAGGTCATCAAAACAAGCTGTTGAAAGCACAGATTGCAAGCTTTTAACTGATGCCAATTTGCATTTGTAAGTAGAAAAATAGATATTTATGGTAATTTCAATTGGATAATAAATTGCTGTTGTGCATGGTCTTGTTTTGCCAAAACAAAAACTTCTTCTATATATTTTTGCCATATTTTTTGTCATTTATTATGCTAGAACAAACAGGGAAGAGCAGATGTGGACCTGCTGATACATAATGTAAACTGAATAAAAATGAATTTACGTAATTTGTTATGCATGTAATTACTTTTAAATAGTGTGGCAAAATGAAGGTAATAACTCTAGACTTCTAAGGTTTAATGTTTACTGCATTTGGATATTGCCATTTATATCTCCAGCTGGGCATAACAACTAAAGTGTATTTCAAATTGAGGAGGATGAGAGGCGTGAGGGGAAAGGCAGAAGCAGTGGATAAGTGGATTATATGGGTTTAAAACATGTTTAAAGGCTTATAACAAGTATATAAAGGTGCTACGGCATGACTCATTGATGTTCATGGCATGTGTGTTTACTCACCAGCGATGAAAAAGTACACACAGAGAAAAGAAGACAGAAGCACATGTAAAACTGGATTTAAGCAGCAAGACACAAACAGAAAGATGAGCATGACATGCTGAATATATTTCTGATATTTCCATCTTTTTAGAAAAATGAGCCATTTTTAATGACCTGCATGAAATGATAAAATGAAACTAAAATGCTTTGTACATCTCTTTGCTAAGTTGTTTTGTGGAGTTTGAGAAAAGATAAATGGAAGTATATAAATTACAATAATCATTAAAAATGAGCATTGTTATTAATGTATATACAACGCTGTGCAAAAGTCAGAGACCACCCTTTTCATTTATTCAATTTCCAGTCAAAATGGTCATTCAATAAAAGTTTTTTTTTAAGAAACATCTATTTTAACAGAAAATTACACAGAAGTCTCGACAATTAGATATAATTATTTTCAGTATTTATCAGATATGTGGGAAGTGTGGGTGCTCAGGGTGCTGCAGCATCCCTAGATTTCAGGAATGCAACTACTAAAAATAAAATATATGATCATTTGAGCATAGTAATGATTCACATATGCTTGTTTTAGAAAGGAGTTTATATTTTTAGATTTTATTGATATATTTTCTGAAGCTGCAGTAGCTGTTCATTCTCTTGACAACTGTTTTCCGCTTTTTGGTCATGCTGCTAAAACACAAGCATGATGAGGTACAAAGAAGGAAAGTCTCTGCAGAACTACACCAGTTCTGAGCCCCAAAGCAACCTAATATTGTTTTTGAACTTCAAAATCATCTAATGTAATAATAAAGCAATAAGCCACGAGAGGACGTGTTACAGTGATTTTATCACAGAAAGGGTGATCTCCGTAAAGCGGAGTGCCTAAAACTCCCTTCCCTGTGATAAAATCATAGTAACCCACGGCTTCAAGTGGCTTATTGTTTTTCTAAAACAGCAGCCAATATAAAACATGATAAAATACACAGTTTTCATTTGCTACTATTAATAATAATCGACATAAACAAGTATTTCACCAAGAAATGTAGTTCCTTTAGAGTACGGTGTCCTGGCCAAGCAACCATAGACCGCTGAATGAGGAAAACATTTGGTCGCCTTTCGCTGTATACTGCAGTCATTTCATGAACTTTTTGTTGTATAACAATGAACGTATGCTAACACAGCACTGTTTAATGCAAAAACTTTCACTTTCTAAGTACTCTTTGGTCGCCAAATTACCACCGCAATTCGTATTTAGCACCAACCCAGCTGTGCCCCTCTTCTTGTGCTGAGGCTGAAACTCTAATAGCTCTGCTCCCTGCATAGTGCACTACATAGGAATTTAAATACTGGATCCTGCAGCCCAACTGTGTAAAATATATCTACGAAATAGTCATTTGGGCCACATCCACACTCGATACATGATGCACTATTTCGCTGGAATTTCTAAACTTTCATAGCTAGCACACTATTTAGGGAATACAGAGCTGTTTGGGATTCAGCCTGGGTTTGACACGACGTCTGACTAAAACACAGACATTTGAAGCCTGTGATCCATTTAAGTGATATTTTTTAGACTTTTATACTGCCGTTTTACTGTTAATCATACTATAAGTACTTTAATTCAAGCCTGTGATATTGAAGATGGAGTTGTTTAGGCTGTTGCCTATCTTTTAGCCTGTTAGCTAGCTGACCAGCCTAGTTCTATTTAAGAAACATAAGTTTTCAGCCCCTCAGTTTAAACAAAAACGGGTTCTTTTTTCATAAGTACACTCGGCGGTCCTTGCAAGCAGCATTAGAGACAAAGATTATTCCATTAACATAGGTGTGTATATCTTGGATTTTATAACGGTTTCAAACACAGCTCAGTCAGGGTTAAGGACCGGAACTACCCGTTTTATATCAGCATTTTTACCAATCACTGTATCTCCCACTCGGTTTGTATTCCAGTGTTAAATCTCACTGTATAACTATGGGTATGACATAATTTGTTACTGCACTACATAACATTCTGATTGGTCACCACTCCATAAAGTTTGTCCAGAACAAAGGAGCAGAGATGATGTGCACCAGTGGTTTGATTTTGACAGTGACATGTATATACTGCCATCTCTTGCCTCATTAAAGGATGCTATGACACATTCTGTTTCATGTAAACTATCAAAAGAAATCCAATTTAAAAAAGGCAAATCGTTTTGCATGATGTCATCATTCATGTCACATATATGCTGCTTAACATTTCAACAGCTCCAACTTAAAACGCCTTCCCACATCTCTGGTATTTATTGTGTCCATGCTTTGCCTTTATTACAGCTTCCATTCTTGTAAGTAGACTTGCTTTCAGTTTTTCAAAAAAATCTACAGGGATATTTTCCACACCTCCAAAGTTCAGTCTAGAAGTCGGCTGCACTTTCTGCTTCTCAATCGATATAATTCCATTTAGAAATTAGACTCATCAGTGTATAAACCCTAACTGGCATCTCAGATGTCCAGTTTCAGTGTTCTAGTTCAAAACCTGTACTCAATGGCAGTTTTGACTGCAAATTAAATAAATGAAAGGCTGGTCTTTGATTTTTGCACAGTACTGTACGCAGCAATAAGAGTGTGCTATGGCTGTTATATGGTGTGCAGATGTGTCATTAGAAACAACAGGGAGTGGATGAGTGTGAACATAAGACTTCGCAGGTGACTTCGAAAAAGGCAAACTCATGTAACTTACCTCTCTCTGTACTCCAATCACGTAAAATGTTTTCCCTTCAAACTTAAATTTGCTGACATCAGCCCTGAGAGAGTGAGAGATCACTGTGTTTAGTGTTGAAACATTGTGGTTAGAAATAGAGTCCACTGACCCTCATTCTATTGTCACTCCATTCTAGCATTTTAGCATGGGGCTAATGCTGTGTTTTCTTGCCTATTCCATGTGGTCTGCAGTGAGTTGATGTTCCTAAATCTAATCCTTCATCCTTAATAACCCTTCAGGCTGTACAACTTACAGAATGTAATATTTAAAAGAATAGCTCACCCAAAAATGCTAATTATGCCATTTAGCATTACACGCAATGCTACATGCTAACTCTTTACTGCTAGCTTTTGTTTTGTTTGTTGTTTATTTGCCATAATTAACATTTTTGGGTGAATTACCCGTGTAAAAGTTAGATTAAGGAGTAGAGAGAGAGATAAAAGAGTGGAGTGGGAGGCTGAAGACAGTGAGAAGTCGCGGTATAGAATGAGGAAAGCAGGACACATTTGAAGGCTACCAAAAGTTGGGTACCATTTGAGCAAGTGGATCCGCTTGTTTCCCTGGAAAACCATGAAGCCCCGGGCAGTGAATCCGAGAAATGCTGTTGTCCCCGTGAAGTCCTGCAGCAAATAATAACCATTAAGACAACCGTTATTATGCAGTGCTTCATTTGCTGGAACATAACAGTGGAAATGCTAGTTATGCTGTTTAGCATCCTGAGACAACATGAGACACTCAGTCTAAACCAACAGCTCTAAAAGCTCAGTACAGTAAAATGTAATAAAAAGCTACTGAGCAGTAAATTAGCTGTGGTTTCACAAAATAAGTGCCCTTTGTGTTCCCTGACAATTATTTCCTGTTAGACATAAACCTTGAAATCTTGGCCCATGTGGCTTTAGCTAGCTACAGCTTTGTTATCTGTGAAATTACTCCATAATTAGTCTCTGTAACACTCTACACAGTTGAGCCCAACCTGACTGATAAGCAATGAAGCTAGCTAAGCCCCCAGCTTCTGGTGGGACTCAAATTATAATGGATCCCAGGCCCTGAGGCCAAAGCTGAAAGTTAGCTTGGCCTGAAAAAGCACGAGCGATCAGCTTTGCCACCGGGTCTGAGCGTTCAGATTGGACTTCAATGGACCGATATGACGTTAAGCTTGTCCCGGAGTGCAACGCCACTATCAGGACACAGAACACACACTGTTGCATCACCAGCACAGCCACACACATTGATTCTGATGCACTCAGACAACATGTTAAACAAGGCCATAGCCTCAGAAATGCGCTTCAGACTTCAGTGTAGGGCGCAAAGCTCAATCAGCTGATACAATGAATGCAGAGCTAGGTTCCATCAACAGGACCAAGTTTATTGTCATTACTAATCACACCTAACATAGACAGTACAGTTCACAAGTCAGAGACCACCCTTCATTTATTCAATTTCCTGTCAAAACTGACTCTAAATACAAGTAATTAATTGTTAGGATAAGGAAGGCAGAAAAAGGAAATGGCACAAAAGCTTCAACAAGTTCAGTCTTAGAGGTTGGTCGCATTTTTTCTTCGCACGATCCAATTCCAAACACATTCAAAGATGAATTCCAAACACATTCAAAGATGCTAAGGTCTGGACTCTGGGGTGGGCAGTCCAATGTTCTGAGAACACCACCAGCTTCTTTGTTTGATGTGCAAATTTTGATCTTTTTGTCCATTTCATTTTCTCAGTACTTGCTTCTTGACAACTACACATTTTTTCACACCCATAGTGCTGAGTAATTATGTTGATAAATTGATATATTATGAAGGAAACAATTACACAGCTTATAATTTTACATCAGACAATGGTTTAATGTACTCATCATACGACTGAGAGTAACTTAATTGTGGTGATAAGCACAGAACTGCCTGCACTGGAAAACCTGTGTAAAAAAGAGTTAATATTGACATTTATATAATAAAATACAGTGTAGTCAATACCTTGCAGGGATGTGGGTCGACCCCATACGTGTCGAGCGTGTGAGCTCTCTGGAGCAGGTTCAGTTCAGCCAGGGCTGGACACTGACCCCTATAGTGAAGAGCAAGAACAGAACCAGTTACTGGGTTGAAAGGTAACTGAATACCCAGTTTGAAGTGGTTACAGAAGATGATGATGAAGTACACTAGATTCTAGGGGTGCGGGAAAAAATCGATTCTTAGATGCATGCGGACGTGAACGATTCTGAATTGATTCACAAATCGATTTTCTAAATATTTAATTTATAACGCAATGTTGACGGAACGCAAAAGGCGGAACTTGGAAGTGGGAAAGTGCAGTGCCCGGACACTCTGTGGCGGCACATAACAAAAACACAACTGGATGAGCATTAAAAGCCAGGTCAGGTCAGGAGTCACAACCCAAATGATAAGAAAAGCCATTTTGACCTTTCAACAAAAATCAAACCACCTTGGGAGCCGCAACATTTAATGTCCATTATGTCTCAGTATGTCCTAATGTCCTAATATAGACTAAACAATATAAACGAAAACGCAGATTTACTTTGCTCTGCTTTAAGCTTTAACTAGTTATAGCCGCTTTCCTCCCCTTTCCACCAGAAAACGTTTCCTTAAAAGTAGACCAATTTCTTGTAAAATGTCTCTCATCGTTCGACTGTTTTATGAGGCTGAAGTCACTTCTCATTCTCCAGCTTCTTGTCTGAATTTTCCCGTTCCACCTTAAATTCTGCCTGAGGCGCCGAATGTAAATCCGGGAAAATTCGAAAGAGAAGCGACTTCATCTTTGTGACTTTTAGTGTTTGACAGTCTCTTGTTGCAGATTTAACATACCAGGAAATAAACTGCACTGCTTATAAATGCGAATAAGTCCGTTCATCTCCAAATGTTCGTCTTAAATCTGTGCCTTTTCGTTCACTACTAGCCAGGCGAGACTTAGTTGCTTAGTGACCTGCAGTCTGCAGGCCAGTTCTCAGCCGCTGAGAACCAGGGCTTTCGCGCTATGTTGCACATGCCCCGTCTCAAAGATATTTTACTTACACAGAGATCCCACCACTCTCTACAACGAGACCAAAACCGAAGTTATAAAATCACTAAAGAAAACGGGTAGAATAGCTGTAATGTGCTGCATGGACATCTATTACCACTGGATCTTGTGTCACCCTTACAGCGCATTTTATCGCAAATGAGTGGCAGCAGCGTCTCATGTGCTCCAAACAGCAGTGAATGAGAGCCTTCAAGTTCACTTGCCAATTACTTTTACAAATACTTTGCTTTAACATTACCAAGTCCTCAGACAGTAGGAAAATAGAAATCCTGCATAGCAAAAAAAGATGCATCAAGATGCATCGATAATCGTTTTATAATCGCATCGCAGCCCTCTGAATCGTAATCGAATCAAATTGTGAGGTGCCTAGAGATTCCCACCCCTACTAGATTCGATTCATTTATCTAATAAAAAAAAACCTGAAATGGTAAAGCAATAAACAATGAAGGAAACCTTATGTGTATGGTCCAGTTAGCACGACCTTATTTATGTACTGCTAAATGTTTGGTCCCCCTCATTAATTACCAGAGGTGGGTATTAATTAGCTACATTTATTCAATGACATGTATTGTTATTGTGGATTTGTAGTTTTCTGGATATTTTTAAAAGATGCTTTTATATCTATTGAAGTATGTTTGTGAGAAAAGTGATCTACTTTTTCATCAATGTATTTTAGACCTACAGCACACCAAAAGGAGACGAATAGCACCTCACAAACTTCAGTTGGTATACTAATAGATACTGGATGTACTATTGTTTTGTACTTCTATTTAAGTTTGTTTTGTGTAGGTATATCCAAGTTTAAACCACTGTACTTGAGTGTTTTTTTATATATATACATACATATACATATATATATATATATATATATATATATATATATATATATATATATATATATATACCGATCAGGCATAACATTATGACCACCATCTTGTTTCTATGCTCATTGTCCAGCTCCACTTACTATATAGGAGCTGATAAAATGGACAATGAGTATAGAAACAAAGAGGTGGTCATAATGTTATGCCTGTATATTAATATATATATATATATATATATATATATATATATGCATATATATATCCTTATGCAGACAGCCTTCTAAAAAAATGTTACCAATTTGTATCTGGATGATGTACAAAACGAATTTAAACATTACTATTTATTATAACAATGACAGAGGCAATGACATCTTTGAAGCTGCAGGCCAGTGTTATCCTCACCTCAGCTCATTCTGGTGGATCTCCATGATCTTGCGCTCTAGTTTGAGGCTCTGCTTGGGGAAGAGCTTGAAGTCGCTGATATAGTCAGCTGGATGCTCATCTGCATCATAGTCTCCGAGCTCAGCTGGAACAAAGTGCATAAACCATTTAGAATGACCACAGTGCCTTTTCAGTTCAGCCTACCATTTATGTCCAAGGTGAACACATCATGTCTGTTTGATGTCCTCTCTGTACTGTGGATAATTAACACAAATGCATGCATCTAAAGATAGTGGGATTGTGACCTTCGGAACTCTCTGTTCCAGTGTGCTTTGTGCCATGAGAGGAGGAGGATATTTGCGCTAAGTCAGACTTGACTCACAAACCCAGTAATGGCTTGTTAAATGTCACACTTATGTTCTCGTTACAGTGCAGTTTTCACCGGAAAAGATGAATCTTTGTGATAAAGAGTATTGCATAATCATCAATCCAAAAATACCAGCATTGCTAAAGATGAATGAAAAGGACCCAGGACTCCTCTGAAGGACTTTTAAAGGCAATGCTGTCCATGTTAATGCAATGTTGTAGCATTGCTATGAAAGTTCTTCATTGCTAATCATTGTATCTGACTGTATCCTTTAATACAATGTTGAAGCAATGCTAAACATGCAAACCATGCTAGCTATGCTACCATTTCTGACTGAAAGTCTTGTTTAATGCTGTGTTTTAGCAATGCTAATTATGTCAGTAGACTTGCTAGCAGCGTTGGCTAAAGGACTCTTTTAAAGCAGTGTTGGCTAAAGGACTCTTTTAACACACTTCATTCATTGTTAAAGCAATGTTGTAGCATGTTGGTCACCTTAATGCAACATTGTAGCACTGCTAAGCATGTTATTCATTGCTAACCAGGCTAGCATTTTGCCTGAAGGACTCCATTAATACAGTGTTGTAGAACTGCTAAACAGGCCATCCATTCTAATTACCTGGCAAGCAAAAACAGCATAGATCAGCACAGCTGGTCACCAGTAAAACCAGCATGTTGTGCTCGTATGCTGGTCAGCAGCAATGGAAGCTGTTAGGCTGATCAACACCAAAACTGTGGCATGGTCCTTCAGCATGACTGCGCTGGGCAACCAGCTAAACCAGACCAGCATCAGACCAGCATCCATATACTGGGCCAGAACAAACACAAGGATGTGGCCCACAAGTGGGCCAGACAGATTTCGCTAACTGGGTAGCTATGCTAGCATTTTTGACAGAAAGACTTCTTTAATTCACTGCTAAGCATCATCATTCACTGCTATCCATGCTTGCATTGTAGTTGAAGGACTCCTTAAGCAATGTTGTAGTATTGCTACCCCCGTCAGCCATGTTAGCTAGGGTGACCATACATCCTCTTTTTCCTGGACATGTCCTCTTTTTGGGACCTAAAAATTTCAAAATCGCCTTTTCATTGTGTTTGTTTTTGCCTTGCGTTGACCTTTCTCTTCAGGTCAGACCTCACACGCCACCATTGGTCGGTCATGTACACGCCCTTCACACAAACATTGGTCAAACTGCATCTCAGTCATCACCCTCAGCACCACAGCAGCAGCCAAGAAACAGAGCTGCTCATCAACAGTAGCACATGGCGCTTGAACATTTTAAAAATTCACAGATAAATTACAGTAAACATTCCAGTGTTTTCCTCTCGGTCGGGATCCGTGGGGAGCAGAATGCATGATCTGCAAAGCTGGAATGTACGTGTCAGTGTCAAATAGATCTAGAAGCATACCTGAGCACATCAGGAGAACTGAAAATGTCTAGTGAAATAATGGATGTTTTTGACATCTTGCATCTTTATTTTTTTTTATTCTCTTGCCAAGAATAGAAACAGTGTTATGTAATAGGCTTTTAAAGCGAAACTATTTTTTTATGTGTTTGTTTTTATTTTATTGTGGAGGCCCAAAAGCTGAATGGAAAGGCATTAAATTATCTGGCCATAATGGCTATAAAGGCATTTGTTATTTGTCTTGTTGAGGACAAGCTGTTTAAGTATTAAAGCTCAATAACATAGCTGCATGGTTGTGGACACATTTGTCAACTATAACCCATGCTACCACCCCCCAACCTTCCACCCACCGTGAGTGTCCGTCTGCCCCATGCAAAACCAAAATATGGTCACCCCATGTTTTAAAGCAATGTTGTAGCATTACCTTGAACTATACAGGCTCCAAGGTAAGCAGCGTCTGCAAACGGACACAGGAGTCTGCCATGGTACAGATCTCTCTTCAGCTGGAGGTACAACAGGTATCTGACAAAAAGAGAAACAGAGTGATGGATGAAAGAAAAGTGTTGGAGATGTTCAGAATGAAAAAGACAAATTTCTCACAGAGCGGCTTAACTCTACTGCATGAGACAGGGGCAGCTAGGAAACAGCAGTAGCTGCCATAGCGACCAGGTCTACCGTAAAGAGCCGTTGCCATGAGAACCTTACCCCAGGAAACAGTTACCATGGAGATGTGTCCTTGGTCCAGTGGGGGAAAAGACATCAGCACTGTTGACTCTGATTTCACATGCTGTATTGTTAAATTAACAGTGTGCTGTAGCGTACGCTTGCATGACCCCATTTCCAATAGCTTACAAAGTAAACATTCACTTATGTTGTTGTTATTGACCAACAAATGGGTTCCAAGCAAGGGATCTCTGAACATGTGAAATGTGGCACTAAAGGGGAATTCCTGCATGATTGCATGATTAAGATGTAAACAAAGTTATTCAGAGCAGTTTGCTGTGAAATGTGGCATTTGGGAGAAACTTGACAGAACTGTTCACAAAGCTAGAGATGGGAACCAGACATCTAAAGCATATCTACTAGCTCTAAAAGCTCCCTAACAGAGACAGTATATATGAATAGATTATGAATACTGTACCAATGCCTGAAATCCTGTGTTATAATAGTTAGAGATAATATAATTAGGCAGAAAAAAAAGTTTCTTAACAATAAATTAATGGCAGAGAGGTACATGCAGGGCACTGTCCAGCAAAATAGTGCCCAAAAAACCTATTATTTCAGATTTACTATTACAAACATTACATATAACTCACAAATAGGTCACTGATAGTTAAGGATAGTGGATTAATTCACGCTGTAGACAATCCTTGGTTCCTTCCCCTAAAGAAATCTGAGTTGGTAAATTTCTCTACAATTAACCATTTTACATCAAACCACTCTGAGTGACTTTGGTTACATTTGGACGATTTAATTATCCATCAGTTTTGAAAAATCAGTGAAATTCCCCTTTAACACTTCAGAATTTGTGATTTATGATGCATAGATTTAAGTAGAGCTCGTCTGATATGCACGTTTTGTCACTGATACCAATTTAAAGGAGACAGAAGTTCCAATAACTGATAATATTAGCCAGTAAAATTTAATATGGCAAAAAATAAAACATATTCTGATGGTTATACTTAAACAGTGACTAATATAACTGTCGGTTAGTTTTCACCTGCTAACTTTCTTAAAGCTACACCACTTAAGTTTTGGGGATTTGGATTCCCCCTCTGGTAGAAATGTGTAATTGCATGCAACGTGTGGAAGAACAATCTGGTTGCGAGTGAGTTGAAAAGTTTTAAAAGAAAACTCAGTCAGAACTGCGAGTGAATTATCTACTATTATCATCATATCTTCATCAGTGTAATGTCGATTTTGCATTTGAGACCTAAACATTGAGCTGGACCTTCTTTTTGAGCCTGTCCGTATGATGTTAGAGGTGGGCAGTGAGTAATGTTTGTTTATTTGAGCTGGATTTGCGTCTTCCAGCAGTTGGGAGCTATTAAGTATCGACAGCTATGAAGCGAGAGAGCTAATCAGCCAGTTTGGCCACTTTGTACACTATAGTTGCATACAATTAATAAAAAAAGACAATTTATTTGTTAATCGCAATTATTTATATGGTAATTCATCGTCAGGTGAAATGTCATGACTGTGACAGGCCTACTTTAGGCTATGCATATTCTGCTGTAGCACACTTTCCATCTTCAAGTGCTGTTTTTTATTCTACACTATTCCTGTATGATTCCACTCGTTCCTCATATGAAATATTGAGGAGAAAGAAAGAAGCAGAGAGTTGTTTTCTGTGTCTCTGGGGTTTTTGAAAGGAAACAGTCTGGCCTCAGCCGCACTAATGCTGCTCTAACTGCTCTACAGCATGTCCAGCACTTAAACTTCCACCCAGACAGCCCGCACGCCGACACAAAAACATACATCCACTGCTCTCTGACCGACACCACTAGACCCTCAGCCTGTCTGGAACCAGAGAGAGAAAGCGAGAGAGAAAGGGAGAGAGAGCAGAGAGAGAGGGAGGGATACGTATCTTCACAGCTCAGATGGTGAACACACATGACGGGGCCGGCTGAGAAGGCTGTGTTAATGACACACTACACACTAACAACGTATGTGTGTTGGAGTGTTATTACTAAGACTGAATCAAAGCTTGTTTATCCACTTTGGCCTCCGATATCAGCCACAAAGAGAAGAGACACTCAGAAGTAAATGAAAGCTCTCATTTTACCCTCTCTTTTCAGCTACTGATCAATGTTCTAGAAGCAAATGTGTGAAACTAAAATAAAAAAAAGTACTTTCTGGCCAGCACACGCATCCTACTCTAGCCAAGCTCTTCAGTAAACAGCACTCAATTCAAAGCTAGTGGAATCATCTACACTGAAAAATGTGTTGCTTGATTCAAATGTGTACATAAAATACATCAACACAGTTCTTGACAAAAGCAAGCATGAACAACAGTTAATTGTGTCCCTTATGAAAGAAGAATGCACTTAAGTTTACTTTTTTAAAAGTGTATTTAATATGAAAAGTACTTTATTTTAATGTTCACATTAGAGGTGGGCGATATGGCACAACTATAATATTGCGATACTTCCAGAAATTTTCATGATACTCGATATGTTGCAGTATTTATTTTATCAGACATCTGAACAGAGAAAAAAAGAACCAGCAGTGCTACATTTTAGAAAATACTGTCAAAAAATGTGAACACTGTTGCACCAATGTTGCACTAAATCCAGTTAAACACGACTAATTTTGCTCACTTTATAATGAAACATGCATTCAGTGTTCTACAAGTACTGATGATATGCAAGATATGTTCAGAAAAGCATATTGTATTGTGATATAATTTATCATGATAACAATATATACTCATATTGCCCAGCATTTTCAAAACCTTCCCTAAGAGGTAAATACATGGATGTGAGTTAACACCAGGCTTATGCCTTCAATATTGTTATATTCCTTTGGTTGGCTACCGACAAGTATTGAGCAGCCTGTTATTGATTGTGTGGCATGTTCTTGTGCAGGAAGCTGCCAATGAAGAGCCGTTCTCACTCTCACTCTCATTCTCACACGATTTTTGATCATGTAGGGTGGCACAACACACCCCTTTTTTGAGAAACTCTCACTCTAGAGCTTCTGTGCTGTCTTAAAAAGGGGATTTAAAAAAAAATCTCCAGAATTCAGTGGCTGAGATGTAAACAAAGCCAGTCAGAGTGGTTTGATGTGAAATGGTTCACTGTAGAGAAGCTTACGACTTGGATTTCTTTACAGTGGTGGTGACTGGAACCAGGGGTCACAATGTCTATAATACAAATACAGCCTTTTTACTCACTATCCAAAATGAACACTGAGCCTTGTCTTCTGATTACATGTAATGTTGATGATTTAAGTAAATTAAATAAAAAAAAAATTAAATCTGAATAAAATAGTTTCTCTTTGGGGAGCACTTTGCTTCACAAAGTCCCGCATGCACATCCATAAATATGTTTTAAAAAAAGATGTTTTGGGCCAAACGCTTATCTCAGAACTCGTAAAACACTGTCTCAGGCTTTAGGCAGTGTGTCATAATCATTTCATGCAGGAACTTTATGTAAGGGAGCTTTTAGAGATATTAAACTCTGGTTCCTCTCATCACCACTGTGAACAATCCTGAGTCTGTACATTTCTCTAGAACGGAGCATTTCACACCAGATCATCTTCATCTTAATGATTTAATTATGCAGAACTTCTGAAAAATAAAATCAGTTTTAGTATGTTGTTACCTTGTCAATTCTTCCTTGATCTTAATCGGCTCCTGGGGGTAGAACTTGACCCGAAAGCACATGGTGTAGGGCTGCTGACCTGAGAGAATGAGAGAGAAAGAGAGAGAGAGAGAGGGTTAGAGAGAGAGAGAGAGAGAGGGAACATTGCATATAAGCCAATAAAAGTGAGACAGATTATGCTGAGAGAAATAAGTGGGGGCATGACCGGGCATAAAGTGAGACTAAAATGATTATATTAATCCAAGCCTGTCATAAACAGATGAAGAAAACCCTTTGGGTGTAAAAAGTTTTGAAAGAGAGAGTGAAAAAAAAGAATCAGAGTGAATGAAAACACTGATTTCATCACTGTTGCCTCAACAGCCTGCCCCTGCACATTTATAACCATACATGTCTCTTCCATAGATACAAACACAAACAGACACACAACACTCATACACTCCATCCTTCCTACGTCACACACATACACACACGACCTTCCACACCCGTTTGTCTTTTAATCCTGAGAAAAACCGGCCTCACTCACACATTGCCATAAATTAAGCTACAGCTCTGCTCTCTTTCCCCTTCCCATCCATCTCTCCATCTGTCCCCCACCCTGATGATCTCTCTCTTCCTCTCAACATCCCACACTGCTTCCAATTCACACTCTAAAAGGCTTTTAGATTTAGTGAGAGATGGAAAAATGTGATTATCTGAACTGTAAAGGAATAATTATGATATGCTTATGATCTGCTCATAAGCCATGTGCAGTAAAAGGTCAGATTTGAGAAGCAAATCTATGTTCTATTGCACAGTGTGTTATATTCTATTACAATGTTAAAATGTCTAAAATGTCTAATGTTCTATTTCTCAGCAGGCCCAGTGGGGTGTATCATGCTTTTATAATTGTATGCAAAATTTAGACGTCCCTGGTCAAACGACACATTTTGTTGAGTTTATAAGTGAAAATAAGTTAACGTCCTCTATGGCAACAGTTCACAAACATTTTACCCCTGTAGACATCTGACCACCTGCATGCTCCGTCTTACTTCTTGTACATACACAGGCACATATTGACATGATGGATATGTCAGACATTCAGCCAGACATTTTAAATCAGTCTCCTTTAAATTATCAAATATGTTTATGATACAATGACACTTCACATCAGATATACTGTATAATACTGAATAAACAATGTTATTAATAAGTGCACAGAAGGCTATTTGAGGGCACATATACATGTGTGAAACAGTCTGCGGCTGTAAAATGAACAGTGAATACCACAGTGTTCATTATCATCTATTTTGTGAACTGACAACAACCCTAAATAACCACTAAAGCCTCTACAACCTTTAATGTGTTAAAATGTAGACTTTCACATTTGTACAGTTTGAGCACTTTTTAGACGCTCCCTTAACAAGTAATGCATCAGTGTTTTGCTGTTCTAAGTGTTTATGTTCAGCAAAATTTCTTGAAGGAAAATTTTATACATATAAAACCAACTTTATGTTAGAAATATCCCACTCACTCTTACTCATGCATACACACCACAGCCGCTGTCCAGAAGTCTGGCATTGGCTTTAGATTAAACTTAGTATTCAGAGATCTGCTTTTTCAGTGAGGCTGTCTTATTCAGCAGTTGGTGAGTGCGGAGCTGTTTGTGTTGTCTGTTTCAGGGCAGTATCTGTGTAATTGAGTGTAAACATCAAACATCTATTTTTTTTACGTACACTCATTTGGCATACACCTGGGGGAACACCTACCACAGTTCGGGAACCATTCTATTATACTATGTACTATACTACTGCCATGTACTACACTCTATTACATTGTGTACTGCATTCTATTGATGTGTACTACATTCTGTTACACTATGTAGTACATTCTATTGCCATGGACTACACTCTATTTCATCGTGTACACTATTTCATCGTGTACTACATTCTATTACACTGTGTGCTACATTCTAATAGATCATGTACTACACTCTATTACAGTGTGTACTACATTCTATTACACTGCGTACTACACACTATTACACTGTATGACATTCTATTACATTGTGTACTACACTCTCACTGCATATTACATTCTATTACATTGTACACTACATTCTATTACACTGCATACTACACTCTATTATACTGTACTACTCTCTATTACACTGTGTACTACATTCTAATAGACCATATACTACACTCTATTACAATGTGTACGACATTCTATAACACTGTGTATTACATTCTATTACACTTGGTACTACATTCTTTTACACTATGTATTACACTTCAGCACATTGTGTACCCCATTCTATTGCTGTTTACCACATTCTATGCACCATATGCTACATTATATTACAATGTGTACTGTATTCAATTACACTGTGTACTAGATTCTACTGCTGGGCATTACATTCTGTTACACTATGTAAAACACTCCATTACCCTGCGTATGATATACTGTTACACTGGGTAGTACATTTCATCTGTATTGTATTACAATGTGTGCTACATTTTACTACACTGTGAACTACACCATGTACACCATCTACTATATTTTATTACACTGTTCCATTGCTCTATTGCTCTTTTGTTCTATTATGTTGCATATTACACGTTCTACTGCACAGCACATTATATTCTATTGCACTGTGCGCTACACTCGATTGTGCTGCATATTACATTTTATTATTCTGTGTGCTACATTCTATTGCAATGCATAAGAGCACTGTGTACTCTATTCCATATTCTGCATACTACAATTTATTACACTGTATAATAAATTCTTTTACCCAAACTTACATTTCATCTGTTTGACCACGGGTTTGCTGGGGTCCAGCCAGTGCTGTATAAAGAAGAAACGAAAAAAAAGAGAACATAAACAGAATGAAATCCTGAGCATGTGTCATCTGGTAAACTACAGGAACCTGAATGTGTATTTTTTTAGTGAGCTGCCAGATACAATACTACTGCCCCCGTTCCCTCTGATGCATAAGCACATTAATATTACAGCATAAATGGCCGTAAATTATTCAGCGTGCCGCTGAGAGATTTTCTGCTCGACTGAGGAAACGCTGTCGTACAAACAGCAAAGTACAAACGTAGGGATGGTTGTCATGGTAACCTTGCATAGAACTTTAAAGTGGGTATGGGGATCTGATGTGAAGTTTGGAGCGGAGAGGGCTGTGGTTTAAGAGCATACTAAGACATCTGAACTCTGCACTCTGCATTCCATTAGAACCTTTCCTAATGGAATTTACAGGGCCATTAAAAAGTCACAGGTGAAGTTGTGCCAGTGGTGTTTACTGTGCACCAACATTATTGCAGCCGACAAGAAGTTAATTTATTTATCAGGATGTCTGCATAACTAGAGCAAGTATTTTAATGTGCTGCTTACAGATATGGTACATAGACTCCGAGCACCTACGTACATAGCACCTACTTTATATTTCCACTCACTGGCCACCCACCTTATTGGTCCACTATATACACCGATGGCCCAAAACATTATGACCACTTGCCTAATATGGTGTTGGTCCTCTGCATGCCACCAAAACTGCTCTGACCCACCGATGCATGGACTCTACAAGACCTCTGAAGATGGCCTGTTGTATCTGGCACCAAGAGCAGATCCTTTAAGTCCTGTAAGTTGCAAGGTGGAGCCGCCAAGGATCGGACTTCTTGCATCTCCCACACATGCTCAGTTGGATTGGGACCTAGTAAATTTGGAGGCCAGGGCGATACACTGAACTCTTTGTCAAGTTCCTCAAACCATTACTGAACAATGTGTGCAGTTTGAAAAGGTGCATTATCCTGCTGAAAGAGGCCACTGGAATCAGGGAATACCACTGCCATGTAGTGGTGTACCTGGACTACAGAAACTTTTAGGTAAGCACAAATTTCAAATTAACATCCACATGAAGCCTAGAGCATCAAACTCTTTCCAGCGGCTTGTTCTTTTCCCCATAGTGCATCCTGGTGCCATTAATTCCCCAGGCAAACAGCTCCAACCGTTTACGTGGTGTAAAAGGAAGCGGGACTCATTGGACCAGAAGACCTTCTTCCATTGCTCCAACGTCCAGTTCTGATGCTTGCATGCCTATTATATTCGGCGGTGGGCAGGGGTTACCATGGGACCAATCTGCAGCTACGTAGCCCCATACACAGCTGGGTGAGATGCACTGTGTTGTGACACATTCCTCCCATAACCATCATTAAAAATTTCAGTGACTTGAGCTCTTCTGCTGGTTCAGACCAGACGGGATAGTCTTTGTTGACCTGATGCATGGATGAGCCTTGAAGTGCCCAACACCCTGTCGCCGGTTTGTGGTTTGTCCCTCCTGGGACAACTGTCAGTACATACTCACCACTGCTGACCCGAAGCACCACATAAGCCTTGCCATTTCGAAGATGCTCTGACCCAGTCATCTCGCCATAACAATTTGGCCCTTGTCAAAGTCGCTCAGGTCTTCATGTCTGCCCATTTCTCCCACATCCAACACTGTCAACTACAATGGCCTACGGTCTAACATATCTCAGACCTTGACATGCGCCGTTGTTACGAGATAATCAACTTTATTCACTTCATCTGTTAGTCATCATAATGTTTTGGCTCATCAGTGTAAGTGCACAATTACAAGCTGTAGCCCATGCATTGTCATGCACAATCTGTCTGCTACCCTCTACCTCATTCATCACTGGTCAGTTTCTGACTACAGGTCTGTTGTTTTATTTGGGTGTTGGGCCACTCTCTACAAAGCAGTGACATGGTAGTGGTCCATGCGAAGAGTGGCTATCTCAAACTGTACACCAAAAACATGGTGGTTACAGGGTGAGAAATTCTAAAGTTGATGTTTTATGAATGTACAGATACATATGTCTGAACGTACCCTCTGCTTCTCTGGGTCCACATATCTAATGCCAAAGTAGTCCTTCTCCAGCAGACTGTAGTGGTTGCACACATGATCCAGTAGAAACTGCCCTTTTGTGTCTCTCTGTGGGGAACAAGAACCAAATCCAGAATTATTATCGATATAGACAGTACAGGCAGTGTAACAAGCTTACTAGTGATGCCACTGTACCACTGTGACAGTCTCAAGTTTTTGTACCTTCAATGTCATTTTTTATCATACTTTTTGATTACGGAGTTGTGTGGAAAGCACAGAATTCCTCTTAGTGCCTGTAACAGTATAATTTTAAAGCATTCAAACACCTCATTGTGTTTATTTATAAATGTCAAAAATCAGTCACAAAACGGAAAAAAAAAAAATTTACTATGTTTTTTATGATGCTTATTTCTGCTTCTATGGGATTTCTAATACTATGTTATCGCTGGTGTAGACATCTGAAGCTTGTAAATAAAATTCCAGATATGTTTTCAGAAACTTATAACATACATTACCACAATTTTGTCTTGTATGTTTTAGTTTTCCAATCACTCTTTCTGTAAAAAGCCCTGACATAGAGATGCTGCTGTTTTACACTTTTAAGAACAGACTAAAACATGGTTAGGCTACCACTCATAATCACAGTCAGTGATGCATGCCTTCAGTTCAGCTCCTGAAATCCTAAACAATGATTGAGCTCACTTGGCTGTGTCTATCTAAATACCACAAGAAAAAAAACCTGACTGGACAATTTTCAGTTCGGTGTTTCAATACTGTAACCCTTTTGTTTCTAACCAAAATTATAACAAAATAACAATATAAAACTAACAAAATAAGTGTATTCCTACAATACTTGCAAAGTGTATATATAGCAAGCAAGCAAGCAAAGTTTATTTATATAGCGCTTTTAACAACAGGTGTTGTCACAAAGCAGCTTTACACGGAAATCTATACCATATATATATATATATATATAATAAAGAATTAAAGAACTAATTTCCACAAAGCATTAGTATAATACTCACTGGTATTTATGGGGCTTTCCCAATGATAAGTCTTAAAGGAACCATGTATTTCCAGTTATGGCGTTATGTTTTTATGTACTAAAAACAGACATAACTAATCTCTACATGGCCATTTTTCAAACTCTGTTCTGCAAAACAGGCAGTTTTTGTTACTTCACCTGATATAATAATGTAAATGAGCTCTGTTCTGATTGGCTGCATTATACTGTTCATCAGTCAAAAAGCAGTCTGGGCTGAAACGCTCCTTATAACTTCAGCATGAATGGGCAAAACTACTGGCAGTGTAGTTTCCAAATGGACTGAATTCATACCCTGAATTCATACTGACCAAGACAGGCAGTTTGAGTCCTATTTGATGAATAGGCATGGTATTGAGAAGACCCGTGCCCTTGAGCAAGGCACCTAACCCCCAACTGCTCCCCGGGCGCTGCAGATAGGGCTGCCCACCACTCCAGGTAAGTGTGCTCACTGCCCCTAGTGTGTGTGTGCTCACTAGTGTGTATGTGGTGTTTCACTGCACAGATGGGTTAAATGCAGAGGTGAAATTTCCCTGTTGTGGGACTAATAAGGGTCTCTTAATCTTATAACTCCAGCGTTCATTCCAGTACAGGGTTTTCACCTTTCTCTCTAGCTTATGGGAGACAGCCACATCTGCCTGTTGGTATCTTATTGAATTGTGGCCCAACGGTGACATCTCCCACACCTGGTACAGCAGCATATGCAAATGACCTCACTGCATGTGTGTCACAGGCCCTTGGAGCAGCAGGTCAAAAGTCTGCTGCAGCTAAAAGGCAGCAGAAACTCCAGTAAGACGAAAAAGTTTTATTTCACCCTCACAAAAAAGCAGATCTGGTACTGCTTGATGATCCTGCACAGAGAATAAACGAGTTCGCACCCAGGTGGAAAGGGCCTTTTGTCATTCTGAAAAAGATGGACAACAAAAATGGATAGCAGTCCAGGTGTAACAAATGAGATCTCAGATCCGAAGGACAGGGTGGTGCACCACAACTGCCTCAAAGCCTACAAAGGGTCTCTGTTCACTGGCCCAATCAACAGCTCGGAACCTACAGTCTCAGCTGATGTTGCGTATGTGCTGAGGCCGTCCTGAGCCTCCCTCACTGCATTATCTGGAGCTCTTCCATGTTGCCCTTCCACTCCTCCATATGTGCCTACTAGGACTATCATGCAGCCTAAACGTGCACATGCTCACAGCCCTACGCAGGTCTATTACCATCCTCTCCTTGCGTCCCAGGCAGATCACTGTTACATCTCCTAGTCCCAGGTCTCACTCCCCACAAGCCTTTTTGCCCTCCCCTGACCTTTTATATGTATGCTTTACATTTGCATGTATCTACACTGACCTCTGCTTACCTGATGTTAGATGTGTGTTTTCATTGATGGTGTTGGTATGTATGGTTTTATGTCGAAATGAGGACATTTATATTTAAAATAAATGTCCTTAAATAAATTAAAGACTGTAAGACTGTAAGATCTAACATATTTAATCATTTAAGGCCACATTTATTTTTTTTTTTTCATGTATTTATTCAGTTAATTGTGTAATGTGTAATAAGGTGGGTATCTGTTTATACAGAATTTGTTTAGTAACCAGTTTTGTTACCCAGCAGTGTTTAGTTCCTATGTAGGGATTTTCCGGAGGGACCAGTGAGATTGGTGTATCAAGGGAGAAAAGAAAGAGAAAGTAGCATACAGAGTGTGTGTAGTAGTATCACACCAGCTGTACTCTGCAGAGCCATTTGGTTTAGAACAAAAGAAGTTAAGCTAATTCAGTGTAACCCACATCTCTTGATCAGCAAAAATATAAGGGTTGTACTAGCATTCAGGAGTGGTCGGCTTGAAAGGGTTCACATGTTGTATGCTAACTACTACATAATCAAACAGTTTACATATATCAATATATATGCAGCCAATCAATTTTTGTGTGTAAGTTGAGAAAATAGAATGACAATTTTTACTTGTCTCCTGGTTATTCTGCAGAACACAATAAGATGATGCAACTTCATTTATACAACAGTTAGTTCCGACCTTACGACTCGATTGGTTGAGAAGCACTGTAACTGTTTTTTAATTTAACATTTGACACTCAGCCCATTTGGCCAGACTCTGAAGAAGATTGTGACTGCAGACGCACATCAATTTCTGAATCTGCCATTACCCCTGCTTTAAGTTTTAGCTCCTCTATAGCCGCTTTTCTCGCATCTTCGGCCAAAAAGTAGAACAGTTTCTTGTAAAATATCTCTCAACGTTTGACTTTTTACGAGGCTGATGTCAGCTTTTCATTCGCCAGCTTCATTTTTCGAATTATCCTGTTCCACCTTATATGGTGCCTGATGTGCCGGAATGTAACTGCTGTACTATTTAAGGTGGAACAGGGCAATTTGAACAACAAGCTGGCCAACGAGAAGCTGACTTCAGCTTTGCGACTTTTTATTGTTTGACAGTTCCTCGCTGCAGATTAAACATATGAGGAAACCAGTGATTATAAATTCAAATGAGTCCATTTATCTCCAAATTATCAATGTTCATCTTAAATCTTTCTCTTTGCCATTTCGTTAGCTACTAGCTAGGCGAGATTGTTGTCTGCATTGCTATGGTGGCCGCTAAACCTCATGGTTAACGGTTGAATTAGCAGTTATACATGAACTCCAGCGTTTAAGACCACTTAGAACAGTGTTAGAACGATCAGCAGAGCTTAATTTTACTGCAAAGGGCTTTATTTACTGCAAATCTAGTTCTGCTTTGGAGCTGCAACAACAGAGTAAAAGAGCTGCATTGCCGACCCCTGGGCTTGGGAATTATTAACTAATTTTTTGTTGAACTACTTTTTTGCGGAAGGTATTATTGGTTTTAAAGCATATTCAGTATGAGACTCAAGGCTTCTTTGATTTATTTAGTTTTTTTATTTTGTAATAACTGCTGCACAAAGCAATAGAACACTCGAGGTTGTATGTTCTGTTGCTTAACTATAAAATAATAAATGGAATGTTCCATTTTAAAAGGGGGAACACGTTTTGGATAACAGGGCTATGCATAAAATGTGGGATATGGGTTAAATGCCTTTTTTTTGTTAATTTAATAAAATTATTAGTAAAAAATGATTCTTTTAACATTAAGTTGCTTGTAAACTAACCAACTAACATAGTAATCATGGTGTTACTGGAAGATTAATCAATGTCAGTGAGGTGGGACAGCCCAAAATCACCATTTTAAAGGTGGAGACAGACATTTTATGTGTTTTTATGGTTACCTAAATGCTAATTTTTACAAATTTAAGTTAAAATACAGATCCCTTCTTTTTTTTTACAAAAGTGAAAAAAATCAAGTTTAAGCACTTAATTGCTTTTAAAAAGATAACAAGATATAAATTGAACTCTGTTCATGGAAAGTGCTGTAGTTTTAGAACAAAAACATGTCCTTTCATTCCAGCTTCAGTTCTGCTGACGTAGGATGCCGTTCCTCCCTCAGCGCTCGGCCTGGAACAGCTCTCACAGCCGCAGGCCGTTTAACCTTGCTGTCGCTGTATTGATGCTAACCTGCTAACCCGCGACCCTGAACTGCCAAATGGATCCAAGAAACGAGCTAACAGCGTCATTCACATAACTCACCGCCATCCATCGACCTCATCACAGGGAAGCGCCGTCCTTGTATTACACATCACAGAAGCTCATGATATAATCTTACAGAGTCATTCTCGTGCTAGGAATATCGCCACATTCGAATTTAAAAGCCTGACAATGCTAAGCAGAGCTATGAGGCATAAAACAGATTTATAACAACAGGAGTGCTCACGTATGCGCTTAGTAGCGTGAGGAACGGCGTGCCCTTGCTGTCGTTGGGGAAAAAATGTACAACTGTGCAGAAAATTAGGAGGAGAGAGACAAAGAAAATGGGTGGCTCATAGAATTTGGGCTTTCTCAGCATGTTTGTCATTGAATCACTGATTCATTTATCTCTCTGTATTTCTCTCTCACCCCATCCAGTGCTGCCTTGTCCTTCATTTCATCATCTCTGCCCTGAACATGCAGGGTCTAGGACCGAGACGTCGGTGCCCTAGTTAGATCT